TAAGTTGCAGGTGTTTGATTAAAACTTCATTCGGTGGTTCCGTTTATGCCTTTAACAAAAGGTCAGCTCAGAAGGACCCAGAGAGCACAGGCGGTGTTGGAGTAGCTCTGCTGTGCTAGGCGCGCTCTCAGCCGCGCCTCCCGGGTCTGCTCGCCCCACACGCAGTGTCCCAGGGCTTGCCCGCAGTCGGCGGGGATGGGAGTCATTCGCGGGCCAGGTGTGGCCACACCAAAGACTCTCTGGACCCTTCCCACCGCTAGAACTCTGTCGAGCCTCCTTTAGCCTCATAATTGCTGCCCTTAAGTTTCTCTTTTCAAGTCTCACATCACGCATTTTAAGGTAATTGTGGGTTTGGGGTTTTCTTTGCTCTTTTGCTGGCTAAGTCCTGTGCTCATGGGGATGGGCTCCCCAGGGTCTGGGGAGGAGCGTGTCTCCCCTGTATCTCCGGCAGGTGGATAGCGAGGGGGGCGTCCGGGTGCTGTGGCTGCTTTCTTAACCGCTGACGTGTCATCGAGTGCATTCCCAAATAGCTCAGAGGCTTCTGTTTCTGACATTTCCTTAGCTTAACTCCTCGGTGAGGAGGAGTAAGTAGCCAGTGGTTTTGCGACCGCGTGTCCTTGACTCAGTGGGGCACCTTTTGAGTCCTGTTGTTCGAGGCCAGCACTGTGTGCGCCCCTCCACCTGGCACACGCCGAGGGCACACCCAGTGCAGGGAGGAGCAGGGCCGGTTCCTTCGGGAGGCTGGCGTGGAGGATCCATCCTTTGCCTCTTCCCGCTTTCAATGCTTGTTGGCCTCCTCGGCTGTGAGCCGGGTCTCCCGTCTCTGCCTCTGTCTTCACGTGGCCCCACCCTGTGTCTTATCTTCTCTCTCTTACGAGGACACTTGTCACTGGCCCACCTAGGTCATCCGGGATGGTCTCACCTCAAGACGCTTCACTTAGTTACACCTACAAAGACCCCTTTCCCAAATAAACTCACGTTCACAGGATCCTGCGATTTGCACACAGACACATCCTTGTGGGGCCCCCGTTCACCCCATTCCACCTTTCGACATTCTGGAGAAGAGCTGCCCTGCCCGGGAGATACCCAGATGGATAGACCTGGCCCTACCCCAAGGGACCCACCCCCCAGTGGGAACATGGTGAGCCAAGAGAGGGAGCCGTGACGCCCGGGCTCCTACATAACACGCGCTTAATGTGGCCTCTCGATTCCTCCAGTGTGGACTTTGCCTCTGGCATCTCCTTCTGGAGGATGAGAATTTCAGCTTTCCCGCACCTCCCTTTCTCCTCCCCAGCTCCAGCAGAGCTGAATCCGTGTTCACTGTTGCCGTGAGGAAGGCTGGAGGTGTTATTCATTGCTGGGCCAAGTGGGTTACTATGATTACAACGGAGGGCACGTGTTGTGTGCCCAGTATTTACAGATGAAATGACCGTGTCTGGGATTTGCTTGACAATAATCTTGGCGGAGGGGTAGGTCAGGATATGGGTCAAACCAAATTGACCGTGTGGGTTGATAGTTGTTGAAGGTGGGTGATGGATTCATGAGGGTTTATCATAGTATTCTCTTTTTGCATTTGTGTGACATTTTCTATAATAATATTTTAATAGTTATTTTCGGGAGACCCTCTGTGTTTTAAACCCTCAGTCTTTAGATGTCTGGAAAAATTGCTTCTTGGTCCTCACTTTGGAATGTAATTTACCCAAGTTTTGAACATTAACTGCAGCCCACCCATTTTACACCACAACTCAGCATGCACGCACTACGTTTCATCCATTCTGTCGTGACTCCTTTGTGACATTTTGGTGTCTTTGAAGTCAGGATGTGTCTTACAAACGATGGCATCTTAGACTTGATGAACTATGGCGTACGACAAAACTTCACGTGGGCTGCAGCTTCTCTGCTGCTCCTCCCACTGACAGGTGGGGTCTCATCCCCTGCAGCCTGGCCAGCCTCAGTGACTTGGTTGACCAAATGAATGTGGCAGATGTGTGTTAAAGAAAGTGTGTTAAACCACACCAAGGACTGTGCTGTCTTCCTTCTAACCAAAATTGCTTTGCTTAGGGGGCTGGGAAATAAAGCTTAAATAAAAGGGTAGTGAGGGAAAAATCAAATCTTTGTGGCTACTGCCAGGGCCGCTGTTAGAGACTGAATGGTGTAGATTTATATGTCCAATTTCTGTTGAATGCAATATATTCATTGAGGCTAATTATCTTAATCTACATCTCTAAGATCCACAGCTCCCTTAGAATCTAGGAAGGTAGCACAGTGACAGCTGTTGATATTCATCAGGTTAATTACTTCAGAATAATTTTATGTTATTGGGTTCACGGGTACCCAGAGATGTTGATCATTGAAATATTCGATTCAGGGAACAATGTAAGAAAGGGTAGTTTGAAAGCTATGTGTGTGTGTCCAGAGCCAGTCAACCTTTCCATGGCTATTAGGAACAGAGCTTAAAAATAATAAAAGCTGATTTAATTGGAACAAATGCAACCCAGCTTTAGATTTTATGTCATCCAGAGTAATGATAATGTTTATGTAATCAGATGTAATTCTTTCTCCTTCTCCTGAAATATTGAATCAGATTGTGTTGTGTGTTTAAACATGGCTTGAGAAAGTCTCAGGGACAGTGATGTGGCAGGAGTTCTTTGGTCCTTGGTCTCCTGGGATTATGCCTCTGAGATACAATCAGTGATTCAGTCCCCATAGATCTTTGGTGCCATCCAATTCTGACATAGTGATAAAACTCTGATTTGAGTGATTCACAAGAGATAGGAAGGACAGAAAAGGACAAATTGGCATGAAATAGACTGTAAGGTGGTTTGTGGCATGCATTTTTCATAGGCAATTTCACATAGAAAAGCTTAGAGACTCGTGACCAGTGCTACCTGAGCAAAGGTAGCAGGACCTTATGAACGGTGACTTGACAAATGTGAATTATTCTTAGAATTTTCATGTTAGGGGAAGTAGGTCAATATGGTAAACATTTAGAATTTATAGACCAGGTGACAAGAAATGGCAATGAACCAGTTAGTTAATCAATGCTTATGGTGCCATTCCAGATCCAAAGTGGGACATAAGTAAAGTTTGTCCTCAACGCTCAGTATCCTTTGGCTAACTCTACTTGGGCTCTTCTCTGTCCTGGGTGATCTGACTTCTTGTTCTGATCCCTTATCCCTGCCAGAAAAGCCAAGGGTTTATATTTGATCCATTACTTTCTTTTAATATGAAACTATCCAATGCATTATGTCAACAGCTTCAGGATGACTTTTTAAGCTATAAAAATAACCAGCAAAGCTATAGTCATGTTTTAATGACAGAAAGCTAGAAATTTGTTTTTTTCCTAGATTGACACCTGAGCTAAAACTGTTGCCATCTTTTTTTTTTGTTCTTCTCCCCAAAGCCCCCAGTACACAGTTGTAGGTTCTAGTTGTGAGTGCCTCTGGTTGTGAAATGTGGGACTCCGCCTCACCGTGGCCTGACGAGTGATGCCACGTCTGCATCCAGGATCTGAACCAGTTAATGCCTGGTCTGCTGAAGCAGAGCACACGAACTTAACCACTTGGCCATGGCGCTGGCCCAAGAAAGCTGGAAATTTTAAGATGAAAAATGCTTTGAATTCAATGTATATTCCTATGTTTTGCTACCCCATCAGTTTTTTCCAATAATGAGGAGTAGTGGCCCTGTAGTAGGAGAGTGTAACAGATCATTGGGGGTTGGGGTTAGGGTTCAGGTCAGAATGTGCATAATGTAGAGCAATTTGGATGGTATTAATAATGATATTTGCCTTTCACTGAGAATTTACTATCTGCCAGGCATTGTATGTTTCACATATACCATCTCATTTTAACCCTGACAACAACTCCATGAGATGGATATTATAAGTACCTTTTTATAAGTGACATATGACCTGTGAAGACATGAAATAATTTGCTCAAGATCACACAGTTGAGGGATGGCAGAGATAGGATTTGGACCCAAGGCCGTATGACTCTGAGGTTAGAGCATTCAGGTATAATGGTTTACTTTTACCATGCTTTCCCAGACAAAAACACTACCTTTTACTTCTTCACAAACACCAACAAATTGAAGACTGGATTGTTTAGAGTTTTATCTTCTTTAACCCTTCCTCTCTCTCTCTCAGGAAGTGGGAAGTGAAAAGAGTGTAAATTCTCAATGGAGAACCCAGTCTGAGATTGGCCCTGGTAAGGCTGGACTAGAAGATCAGTTCTTGAATAATGAGAATGGCTTGCTCGTTGTGTAGGATTTCTGAGGTTCTGCCTTTGTCTAAACTTATCACAAGAATGTGAATCTGGCACGTGCAGTTCTGCATAAGATAAATCCCTGTAGGCCATTATGGGAAGTCTTTCAAAGCTTCTTCGTTCCTTATAGGAATCCAGGAGGACAACAATTGTGTGCCTTTGAGGTTCTCAAGAGGTCACAAGCCCATGTGGTGTTCAACTAAGCAAAAAAAAGTCTTAATCTGTGATGGGCCATTTGTCCCCATATACGGGTGCTGCATTTGCAGTGATCATGAAATCTTTCTAGAACAGGATTACAGTTTGGCATAGACAGGTCCAGTAATGTAATACATTACATCCAAATGGTTTAAGAGCAATCAATTGGGTATCTGAAGACTTATCTCTGTGATTAAGTGGATATGAGTTCTTGAGCAAATCACTCTAACTCTAGGCTTCTGTGTACTTACCTCTGGAAAAGGAGTTGGATTTAATCAATCTCTTCACCTGCGATATAGTTGTCCTGACACATTGTTACTTTGTTCTTTGAATGGAAATACATCAATCAGCTCAATCCTGTAGCACTAGTTACTTTATGCTTACCAGAAGCTAGGGTTACCAGCAACCTATTAACTTACTAGAAAAATAAATTGTTACCTAGTACGTGTAGTTGGTTTATTGATAATATATTTGAGTACATAAATAGGACTCTGTGGGAAAAATGATGAAAGGAGTCCTTGGTGATGAAGAGGTTGGAAACTCTTATTCTATTCCACCACTCTCAGAAGGCACACATCTTCTTCTCAGTTTCCTGATGGCTGACTTCATCTCCTGGTTCCTCAGAGTGTAGATCAAGGGGTTCAGCAGAGGGGAGATGACAGTGAAGGTGACGGAGATGGCCTTATCTGTGGGGAGGGCATTGAAGGGCCGGGCATAGACATAGATACAGGGCACAAAGTGCAAGGTCACCACAGTGATGTGTGAGGTGCAGGTGGAGATGGCTTTCCTCCTGCCCTCCCCTGCCTGAGACCTCAGCGTCATTAGGATGACTGTGTAGGACACAAGCAGGAAGATAAACCACAGTGTGGTGAGCAGCCCACTATTGGAAATCATCAGTAGCTCAAGCACACAAATGTCAGTATGAGCGAGTTTGAGGACCTGGGGGACATCACAGTAGAAAGTATCAAGAACATTGGGTCCACAGAAGGGGAGGGGCAGCAACAGGGAAATCTGCACGATGGAGTGGACAAAGCCCCCCAGCCAGCAGGCTACAATGAGGGCAGTGCATCGCCCTCTGCTCATGATGGTCACGTAGTGCAGGGGCTTGGAGATGGCCACATAGCGATCAAATGCCATCACCGACAAAGAACATACATCCACCCCTCCAATGAGGTGGAAGAAAAACATCTGGGTGAAGCAGCCATTGAAGGAGATGGTCTTTCTCTCTGACAGAAGGTCCACCAGAACCTTGGGAGCTGTGATGGAGGAAAAGCAGATGTCGGCAACAGACAAATTCTGGAGCAAAAAATACATGGGGGTGTGAAGGCGAGATTCACAGGTCACCGTGACCGTGATGAGGAGGTTTCCCAGCAGAGTTGTCACATACACCCAAAGCGGGAAAAGGAATAAGACCCAGTTCAGTTCTTGATTCTGGGTTAGGTCAAGGAAAATAAATTCTTTGACCCTGGTGCAGTTTTTCAGCTCCATTGAGTCACCTTCTTTCTCTCACTTTGTTTTCAAGCTACTCCATATGAAAATGTTTGGCTATTTAATTTGTTTTCTTTCTAAGCACTAAGAACGCAATTCAGATTGTTCCTCCTGTGGTTGCAGTGTTTACAATTTGTTGAGTTGTCCCAATTTTTGAGATTGCCTTCAGTTTCACGATCAAACCAAATTATCACATGCAAAGTTATTCAATAATTCTTTCCCTATAAATCTACTTTTGAAAATAATATCATTTATGTTCAGTAGTTAAAATTCCATAGCATATTTTATTTTATTGATTTATTATAGTTTTTAAATTTTATCATTATTTTTTATTCCACACAAATTTATTGAATGTCTGGAATTGTCTGAAGCATTATATACAAAGATAAGGAAGACATGGCTCCAGCCATTGAGGACTTATTGTTCACAAATTCAGTATTCATATTAGCAAATATTCTGGTGACTTCAAGAGGTCTTGCTTTTCTGAATAAAAGGATGTCATTCAGTTTCTTATTGCAATGTTTCTCTGGCATGAGTCATTTTCCTTGCTGTGGGCAGTTTTACATTGAATTTCTTAAAATTGCAGATTGTTCCACGTAGATAGCTCATTATTGCGATTTCTTTATACTAATCAGATTGTTTGATTAACAATTATTTTAAGATAATTAAAATTTATGACTGGGAAACACATTGAAACAATATGTAAATCCTAATCTCAAAGAATATCTTTACTTTCTTTTATTGAGATAAAAACACTTAAACATGAGACCTACCTTCTTAACAAGATTTTAAGTGCATGAAACTGTATAGCTACAATATTGTACAGCAATTCTCTACAGCTTATTCATCTTCCATAATGTGATGTGATCCTTGCTTGAGTGTCAGGGAGAGAATAAAGACAGTGACCTACTTTTTAGAGGTGGTTCATACTATATCAACCACACTCTCCTCTGTGTCTTTCCATTTGTGGATCTAAGCTAAGAGAGTGGAGGGATCCCACAGCAGTGAGAGATGATGGTATCATTAGAATAATGCCTTTGTTTTTTGGTGAGGATGATTGACCCTGAGCTAACATCTGTTGCCAAGTGGAGCACGCGAACTTAACCACTGTGCAACAAGGCTGGCCTCAATAACGCCTACTTTTAATAAGCTGTTATCGATCATTCTTAGGAAATTTTACAATTATTATTTGTTCCACCTTGTTCTTAGAAAGTGAACACTTCTTGCAATTTCAAATGTATTTGGATAAGTTGGACCACATTCTCAAAGTGTTTGCAGGCTAACACAAGTGGATGATTTGTATAAATTGATGGACATATTGCAAGATAAACTGTGAAATGTGTCATGAGAGAAGTAGAGGTAGATTTGGGTGGGATAGGAGATATCATGATTTCCAGCAGTAAAAATGGGTACTATTTTTTTTGAGGATTTAGTATGAGTGAAGACTCAAGAAAAGTTGACTTATTCAATTTCCCCACCATACTTTAGTAAGTATTAATGTTATGGTTGTGTTCTTATGGAATATATAATGAATCTATATTTTGTTGAAAGGAAGGAAGTGATGGAAGTAGGAAGGAATAAACTATTTTTACTCCCTTCAATCTTATATGTATAGGATCTAATTTTGTATAACAGGAATATTTGATAGAGTCTGTCTGAAGATAAGAATTTGGCTGAAAGGGGCTTTGGAAACCCAATTTACATTGACTTTGTTCTCAGGTGGACTCACCAACAAGCAGCTCAAAGGATCACAGCAAATGAATGATGCCTTCTCTCACACTGAATGGACCACATTTCTGAATCCCTCTTCACACATCACCTCTCTTCCAATAGTTAACACCCACCTTTGTTGTTCCTGTCACTGAGAAGATCATTTTGGCTTTGAAGCATTTAATATAGCTGGAAAATATCAAAGTCAAACTATTTGTACATAATCAATCATGACAACTCAATTTCACTATCCATAACCTTTATATTAGCTAAAAGCTTAATGTCTTTACCTCACACCTTTGACCAAAACACCAACTACAAATAGTAAGTTATTAGATACAGAGCAGAACAGAACACTGGTGACTTTAATTCTTGAAAGTTTTGTTTGTGAAAGCAGAGCGTCTTGGAAGACTAAATATCTTAGTGTCTTTACTCCCCTTTCAGGAGAGAAAGGGCAGATTCAAAGAAATCACAGTTTCAAGAATTTCCACTGTATCCCTGTCTTATGTACAAATCCCTCAGTTTGAGGCTTAATATAAAACTTACAAAGGGAGTGTTATTGGACGAGAAAGTGGAAGTTGGTGCCTGATTCTGCTGCTGGTGATGAGGTTTCAGTGGGAGTTATTAAGAAGCTACTGAGACATGTTCATGTGTAAACACACATACACACACACAGATGGACACATTTTGGTTGGTGTCCAAATTATTTAGAGGCAGTAGAGGAAATCTGTTTATCCATCGCTCAATTAGAACTATTTTAAAATGTGCCAAATACTGTGCCCAAGAGACTACAGGGTCCAATTTTCATTGCTTGTAAAGCTCAGAGGACACTATATAGAAATGAGTTTCAATTTGACTCTCAAAAACCTAGAAGAGAACTGGACCTAAAATCCTTTGCTCCTAGTCTAGTTTCTAATTATACGCAGAATTGTTATGGTTTCATGATGTTGCTACAAGTCTCCACATGTAGAGAAACATGACTTAGATGATATTTCAGGAATGCAATTTTTCCTGTTTTCCAATGCTCTATTCATATGGAATCTCTTGATGTGGATTACTGCTAGATGAGTTATGTTATTATAACTGTCTACAATATTACAATAGTTACTCATTATTAACTCAGATTATTGAATGGTTCTTTCTTATGTAGAATGTGCTTCCACTGTTTCCAGAATGCTGACCGGTTTGGGTTTACTTGATTTTCCATTTTGTTTTAGTACATTAAACTAGTCTACACAGATTAAAAACCACATGAGACAGGTTGTATGTTTGAGATGAGTAATTCTTCTTTCTCTCCTCTTCACTTAGATATTATTGACGTGTATCATTGTGGGTGTTTAAGACATACAATGGTTGATTTGATACATTTATATGTTGCAAAATGATTATCATCATAGTGTTAGCTTACTCCTCATCACCTCACATAATTACTACTTTTTTGTGTATGGTGAGATCATTTAAGATATACTCTCAGCAACTTTCAAGTATTATTAACGATCATCACCATCTGTACATTAGATCTCCAAACGTATTCATCTTATACTTGGGAGTTTGTACACTTTCACCAACATCTCTTCATTTCATCCACCCCCCAGTACCTGGTAACCACCATTCTACTCTCTGTTTCTGTGAGTTTAGAGTTTTAGTTTACACAGATTTATGAAATAATACAGTATTTGTCTTTCTCTATCTGACTTTCTTCACTTAGCATAACACCCTCGACGTCCATCTAGTTGTCACAAATGGCAGGATTTTCTTCTTTTCATGACTGATAATATCCCATGGTATGTATACACCACGTCTTTATCCATTTATCCATCGATGGATGCTTAGACTGTTTCCATATCTTGGATATTGTGAATAATGTTGCAATGAACATCAGAGTGCCAATACCTCTTTAAGATCCTGATTTCATTTCCTTTGGATAAATAGCCAGAGATGGGATTGCTGGCTCATATGATAGTTTTAATTTTAATGTTTTGAGGAAACTCTATAGTGTTTTCCATAGTGGCTGTACCAATTCACTTTCCCACCAACAGGGCACAAGGTTTTTCCTTTTCTCCACATCTTCACCAACACCTGTTATTCTTGTCTTTTTGATGATAGCCCTTCTTACAGGTGTTAAGTGAAATCTTACAGTGGTTTTGATTTGCATTTCTCTGCTGGTTAGTGATGTTGAGCACCTTTTCATATAACTGTTGGCCATTTATATGTCTTGTTTGGAACAATATCTATTCAGGTCCTGTGCCCATTTTTATATCAAATGGTTTGTGTTTTTGCTATTGAGTTCTTCACATATTTTTGATATTAACCTCTCATCCCATATGTGATTTGCAAATATTTTCTCCTATTCTGTAGGTTGTCTTTTCATTTGTTGATTACTTTTGCTGTACAGAAGCTTTTTAGTTTGAGGTAGTCCCATTTATTAATTTTTGCTTTTGTTGCTTGTGCTTTTGGTGTAATATCCAAAAAATTATTGCCAAGGCCAATGTCAAGGAAACTTTCCACTATTTTTTCTTCTAGGAGTCTTATGATTTCAGGTTTTATACTTAAATCTTTAAACCATTCCAAGTTAATTTTTGTGAGTGGTGTAAGATAGGAGTTTGATTTCTTTATTATGCATGTTGTTATCCAGTTTTACCTGTAACATTTACTGAAGACAGTATCCTTTCCCCATTGTATATTCTTGGCTTCTTTGTTGATACTTAATTGACTGTGTATGCATAGGTATATTTCTGAGCTCTTGATTCAGTTCCATTGGTCTGTACGTCTGTTTTTATGCCAGTACTATACTGTTTTGATTATTATATCTTTGTAGCATGTAGTTTGAAATCATAAGTGTGATGCCTCCAGCTTTGTTCTTCTTTCACAGGATTGCTTTGGCTATTAGTTGTCTTGTGATACTACACAAATTTTAGGATTCTTTTTCCCCTTCTGTGAAAAATGCTATTGGAATTTTGATATGGATTGCATTGAACCTGTAGATCTCTTTGGGTATCACGGACATTTTAAAATAATTCTTCTAACCCATGAGCATGGAATATATTTCCATTTGTTTGTTTCTTCTTCAGCTTCTTTCATCAATGTCTTATGGTTTTCAGTGAACAGATCTTTCACTTTGTTGCTTATGTTGGTTGTGTTTCTTACCCTTTGATGCAATTGTAAATGCAATTGTTTTCTTTTTTTTAATTGTTTTTAAACATGGTATTTCTATATATTTTATTTACATTTCATTTTTAATTTTTTTATTGTGGTAACATTGGTTTATAACTATATACATTTCAGGTGTACATCATTATATATTTTGATTTCTGTGTAGATTACAACATGTTCACTGTCCAATGACTAATTACAATCCATCACCACATGCATGTGCCTAATTGTCCCTTTCACCCCCCTCCCTCCCCGCCTTCCCCTCTGCTAACCACCAATCCAATCTCTCTTTCTATGTGTTTGTTTTTCATTGTTTTTATCTTCTACATATGAGTGAGATCATACAGTATCTGACTTTCTCCCTCTGACTTATGTCACTTAGCATAATACCCTCAAGATCCATCCATGTTGTCAAAGATGGCTGGATTGAATTGTTTCTTATGGCTGAGTAGTATTCCATTGTGTATATATACCACATCCTCTTTAGCCATTCATCCTTTTTGGGGCACCTAGATTGCTTCCAAGTCTTGGCTATTGTAAATAGTGCTGCAATGAATATAGGGGTGCATGAATATCTATGCATTCGTGTTTTCATATTCTTTGGATAAATACCCAGCAGTAGAGTGGCTGGATCATATGGTAGATCTATTTTTATTTTTTGAGGAATCTCTGTACTGTTTTCCATAGTGGCCGCACCAGTTTGCACTCCCACTAGCCATGTATGAGAGTTCCCTTCTCTCCACACTCCAACACTCATTGTTTCCTGTCTTGTTAATTATAGCCATTCTGATGGGAGTGAGGTGATATCTCATGCTCGTTTTGATTTGCGTTTCCCTGGTAGTTAATGACATTGAACATCTTTTCATGTTCCTGTTCGCCATCTGTATATCTTCTTTGGAGAAATCTCTGTTCAGATCTTTTGCCCGTGTTTTAATTGTGTTGTTAGATTTTTGGTGTTGAGATGTATGAGTTCTTTATATGTTTTGGATATTAACCCCTTAATAGATACAGGGTATGCAAATATCTTCTCCCAGTTGTTAGGCTATCTTTTCGTTTTGTTGATGGTTTCCTTTGCTGTTCAGAATCTTTTCAATTTGACATAGTCCCAATTGTTTATTTTTTCTGTTGTTTCCTTTGCCTGTTCAGACATAGTACTTGAAAATATGCTGCTAAGACTGATGTCTAAGAGTGTACTGCCTAGGTTTTCTTCTGGAAGTTTAATAGTTTCAGGTCTTTAATCCATTTTGAGTCCACTTTTATGAATGGTGTAAGATAGTGGTCTACTTTCATTCTTTTGTATGTGTATTTAATTATGACATATTTTCTGAGCACCTCCATGTTCTAGACCCTGTGGTTCTAGAGATCCTAAAATCAAAGAATTCCATTTTCCCTCTTGTCTCATTCCCAATGTCATTTCTGAAACCTTGTCTCACTATAGGTCTATG